ACACACACACACACACACACACACACAGACACAGACACACACACACAGACACACACACACACACAGAGACACACACACAGACACGCACACAGACACACACAGACACACACACACTCACTGCATTACGATGTCTGTTATAATAAAACGCATGACATCACTGCAGGTCAAAAGTTTGGACACACCAACTCATTTTTATTATGACTATTCTATGTATTTTAGAATAATAGTCATGAAATCTTTTAAACGAAAGAATGAGAATCACACAGCGACCCAAACACTTGTCACAAATGAAAACGCGTATATTTGAGCTCTTCTGGACATTCATCAGTTAAATGCATGAGGAGCAGGGGATGCTTTGAAATGATTGAAAGCATTTGCATTATGCTGCACACTTGTTGCATACAAACGCATAAAACAGACTCTATTTTCCTTCCCTTAAAAATGTTTTTATAAGAACGTCATATGTAGGCACAACTTATAATAAAGTGTTTAAAATCATCAGAAATATAAATTCAGTTAAAGCTTTTGACTCCTGGTGTAAATATTTACAACATGCAAATATTCTTTTCATAATATTTTGTATGCTTTTTCTATCTAGGAATTAGAACTTTTGCACAATAAAAATAATATTAAAAATAATACATTGCATTCAAATTAAAAAATATATTGTACATGGTTTTATAAATTATTTTTGCATGCTAATATCAAATATTTATTCAGAATTTTACACATTTAAAAACAATGTCAAACATTCTTTTAAAAATAATATTTGATACAATATTTAATTTAAAATTGTATTTGAAAAAAAAAAAATCGTATTACTTCTTTTTTTTTTACATATTATAGTACTATTATTAGTTGTCGCTGACACACAAACATGGTGAACTGACCTGTGATTGGCTTCCTCTGTCTGATGGAGTGACAGGATGACGACTGGAGCTCTGGAGGGACGAGGACACATCCTGTCTTTCTTTATATATCGTTCTCCAAGAGGGGCTTTTCCTCCTGCGCTTTCTCTGGGAGAGATTACTGGCCAACACAAAGTCCACCCTCCAGCACAGAGTCCAGTCCCAAATGTCCCACATCCAGATAAACAAGTGTTAGGTAACAAGTGAACACTAAGCCGAAGCATTTCAAGATGCTGCTGTCATTAACAGGCACATTAACATGCACAGCATCAATAAATGACTCATGCATGCTTAACAATCACCCACCGATGAGTCTGCGTGGAAAAACATTCAGCTTTAAGCAATATATTGAAGTACCAATATATGTGGTAACACTTCAGGGAACACAGATTTACTATTAACTATAGTTTTCCCTCAATAAACCGCTGCTTATTGATAGTTAGTAAGGTAGTAGTTGTGTTAAGGGTTAAGGGATCTAGAATATGGTCATGCAAAATAAGGCATTAATGTGTGCTTTAGAAATACTAATAAACAGCCAATATGCTAGTAATATGCATGCTAATAAGCAACTGGTTAATAGTGAGAATAGGTCCCTAAAGTAAAGTGCTACCATATGTGAGTTTCTGTTTAACACACAGGAGCTCAGCTGAATCATGAAGCATCAATCACCGCACGCCTTCAAATGCAACACAACCTCTACAATCCTATACTAAACGCTCACATTAAACTAGTCTCTTTAAAAGTCAAGGACCTCATGGGATCCTCAGATATGGCTATAAATTAAACCATTAATATCATTAAAGAACCATTGTAGTTGAAATATGTCATTTCTCCACCAATGAATCACCAAAAAAACTTGAAATTACATGTATAAATATGAATAATAATAGTAAATATAAAATAATAATACAGTTATTATATTTTATTACAATTATAATAATAAAACATATTTTTTTCAGACAGATATGGTTCTTAATCGAACCATTAATATAAAATATTAATATTAATAAAATAACTAAATAAATAAAATAATAAAATTTCCTAAATTACTAAATAAATAAAATGTACATTCAATGTAGATGTATAAATATTAATAATAAATAATAATAGTTATTATATTTTGTTATTGTGATAATAATTCTTATTGATAGAATATGGTTCTTCTGATAGATATGGTTCTTAATTGAACCATTAATATAAAAGAACCACTAAACGTCCATTCAATGTAAGTGTAAAAATATTAATAATAAATAGTAATATAGTTATTATATTTTGTTACTGTATTATATTATTATTATTATTTGTCAGACAGATATGGTTCTAAATTGAACCATTAATACAAAAGAACCACTAAACGTCCATTCAGTGTAAGTGTAAAAATATTAATAATAAATAGTAATATAGTTATTATATTTTGTTACTGTATTATTATCATTTGTCAGACAGATATGGTTCTAAATTGAACCATTAATACAAAAATTTAACTGTCACCAAAAAGTCAATAACTATAAACGCTTAATTAATTTTTATATTATACTTAAACATAATAAATAAAAAAATCAAACAAATAGTAATAATAATTATGTTATTACATGTTATTACAGTAAAAATGAGGATGATGATGATAATAATTCAGACAGATATGATTCTAAATTGAACCGTTGTTTAATTTGAATTAAGTTGAGCTGTGATTTTTCACCAGTTTTTAGTGATTTAAGTTTAAGTTTGTTTTTTGTTTCCCGAACACTCCCCCGTCTGCCATTGGTCAACAAACAGATAGTTAATATAATAAAAAAAGTTAATAAAAATAAAGGTAAATAAACATGAATAATAAAAAAGTAAATATTAAATGAATAAATAAATAAAAAATGAACAATAAAAAAATAAAATACATAAAGGCATTTAAATAAATAAATATCTTAAAATGTAACATTTTGTAAAAAATTGAATGTAATATTTCAAACCCAGCTTCCTGTGTAATAAAACCCCACACCAGCGCATTAATGAAGCTGACAGTATTATATTGCGACAGAGTGCTACTCTGCAGGTTGTCGACTGTGCAGTATTGCAGTAGACTTTGATTGTATTGGTTAATTCATAAATGGCAAATGTACAGGGCTTCTACTGTTTGCATTGCTAATCTATGGCACAATACTTGGATCGAGTACAAAAGACAGAAGGTTAAAGATAAAACAATACTTGATAGGTAAGCGGATAACCGGAACAGATAAACAGCTGACTTATCAAGTGCTTAGTGATGGGAAAGTGCTTTAGTAAGTAGTAAATAGCTTTATTTACAGGATATTTTGATCCTAAGAAAGGTCATTTTGAGGCTGAGAGAAGAGTTTTCGCAAGCAAAGCGCCCAGTGATGACTGAGACCGCATGCTGTCACTATGTGAGTGCTGGTGCCACTGCCAAGTATCTCCAGAACTGAGCCAAACGGAGAACAGCGGCGTGTGATTGGACGTCTGCGCTCACACCCTCTAAACGTCATTCAGGACACATCGCTGCGCTACAGCCCTGAGCTCTGAGTCTGAACAACGCAGGGCCGGATGGCTTACCGTTTGAATTTTTTTAAGTCTTTTGGGACTCTATTAAGTATCTTCTTTACGAAGCCCTTACTGAGTGTTTAAACAATGGTGAATTGGCGGAATCAATGAAACAAGGTCTCATTTGTCTTATTCCTAAACCTAATAAGGATCCCAATATTTTGGATAATTGGCGCCCGATCACCCTTTTGAACTCTGATTATAAAATATTGGCTTCTGTATATGCTGAAAAGCTCAAATCTTGCTTAGCAAACATAATTTCTAACACTCAATCTGGTTTTCTAAAAGGTAGACATATCTCATTGTAAGCTATCTTTAAAAGACTTTCCTTTCTTTCTTTCTTTCTTTGTTTTTTGTTTTTTTTCTTCTTTATCATTGGTATATTTTGTTAATTTGTGTAGCTTGTCTAACTTCATGTGATGATGTCTGTTAGCCCCATGTTACTTCATAACTGTTGTTATTCTTTCAATTGCAATAAAAAAAAAAAAAAAGAGTCTGAACAACAGCAAACACAGGGCCTCAGTCCAGTCTGTGCATATGACAGAGTCTCACAGCTCTACTGGCCTCTAGTGGATAAACACTCAACAACAGCCTCATTCAGCATTACCAAGCAGAGAAAAACAACGCCCTCCAGAACAAACTTAACAAACAATAAAAACAAAGAAATAAGAAAAGAACAAAGAAATGTTTTCCTTATACTACTACTACTAATGAGATTTTACATTTCAAATCTCATATGAAATAAACAAATAAATAAAGTTAACAACAAAAGTAAATAAAATAAAATAAATAATAAAAAGTAATAAAAATGTAACAATAACAACAATAATAATAATAATAATTTATCTGGGGTTAAATAAAAAGTAAATAATAAATAAAATGTAAATAACAAACAAAAAGTAAATAATAAATGAAAAATGTCAAATCTCATATGAAATGTTAAAAAATAAAAAAGTAAATAAAAATACATACAAATACATAGAGTTGGTGTTGAATAATATTCATTGTAGAAAATACATTAAATAACATTTAACTTTAATAAACAAAAACATTTTTCTATTTTCTCAATTTTTATGCAAATTTACAAGTTAACTATTCATCAAATTTAATAATAAATTAATTTAAAATAAATTTAAATTGATCAGAAAAATAAGTTTATTACTAACTACTAGCCAAAATTTCAGCATCAACTAGCTAGTTACTTCTGTGACTGTTTTATTTAGCCGCGTCCATGTTACCCATTCTGGCTTAATGTTATTTTATTAAAACTTAAGATTTCATTTGAAATGTCATTTAATCTGACGTTTAAGGTTTATTGATAGAAATCACAGCATGCCCAAGTGTTGCAAAAAATGCTAACCTTATATAAAATGTTAAATAAAACAGTTTCTGAGGATCCTTTCACTGACACTTTACAAAATAAAAAAAAATATAAAAAAACAACAACAATAACAACAACAAAAAACACTCTCAATAGCTTTACCCCACGTTTTGTACTGCAATACAGTAAACAATAAATGAAACAGAAGAGTTTTTGATAACAGGATAGGATATTTCCATTTAAACTTTTAATTGCTGGAAGTGATCTCAATCATTTACAGGTCGAGTTCAACCATTCACATTAAAACGGCAACTTAAAAACAGCAGCATGAAATAAAGTAGAAACTCGTCTATTTAAAAAAACACAATCAAACAATAACTTACGAGGAGGTGCACAGACATGCCACATGCCTGGTGAGAACACGGTCAAATAAAAACTGTACACAATCAGTCTTCAGCAAACACTAGAAATCAGATATCAAGCACGGCTGGACTGATATTTCAGCGCTGACAGGTTATGAACATCCTCACGATTTACAAAGAAGAAAAACCCAAAGTGCAGGTGTGCAAGGAATTGAGAGAGGAAGAGAGAAATGAGAAATCTGGGAAATTACAGATGACTTAGAAAACGTCATTCCAACAATCCCAGACACATCGAACATCCCAGTGTTAAATACCACAGACGTTTCTCCACACTATCCCTGTAAACACTCTCTCACGTTAAAGTTTTCACCTTATTTCAAAGAAAAAATATCTAAATCTTGAGAAGATACTTGAGAAGCAACACCACATAAGATTGCATAAGGCTATTATTATAGAATATATTATAATGTAAAATAAATGTAAAGTTTACCTGTATTGTATATACAAATACACTATTTAAAAAATGTGTGTTTTTGTTCTTGTTTTTAGCATAAATATTTTAATGAACATTTTTTCCGCCTAAGAATTCGTGCACACAGTTTTGCTTCTTAAGTAACTTCAATCATCAACATCAAACAATAATACAGATTAAGAACGTGTTTTATCCCAATCAGGACTAGTGAGCTATTCTAGACTCGATTACTATGATAAACAGTCTAACTGTATTAGATATTATTAGTAACCATTTCTGTATATAAAGTACATCCAGCGCATCGTAATATACAACAGGTCCTCTCAGACTTTGTCCTCTGTCCTCAGATCAAAGACAAGCCTC